TTAGGTTCATGCTGTGTACTGTATTCAGGTAGAAAACACACGCACGCTGTTGGGGAACGTTTTATGTATGCACGTGTGCGTGTATGTGTGTATATAAATCCATACGTGTGTTTATTCCATATCTATGCGAATAAAGGGATTCCATATCAATCCCACACATTTAAATTCGGATTGGAATGAATAAAATAAATAAAATACGATAAAAATCCAATCCGTGTATCGTATCTCCCCTCAAGGATCCCTTACCCCCATTCTCGCCATGTAGAGACTGGGCATCTCTACCCCCCTTATTCCTTCCATCTAGAACAGTAGTTCCCAACCTTTTTTATTAGTGTGATTTGTAATAATCTTCACTGATTCATCTTTTCAGATTCAGTTGTTTACTAGTCATTGAATAGTCTAATGGAGTTCAGTAGCTATAAGACAAGAACACTTTATTGCAATCCTAATGTACTGATATTGTCTATGAGAGATGATTATGTGTCTTTAGTGAGATAAAAATAGTTGAACTCTAGCTGAATATGGAAGATGAAAGGGGAAAAAAAGAAATGTTTATATAATTGTTCCTATTTTTTCTCATTTTACTTTATCGTATTTATTTGCTGATGTGTACGAGCACTCTTGGTTATGTGTGTGTGTGGAAATATACTTTATTTTTGTAACTGTATAGAAATTTGATCTTATATTTTTTATTTCAAAATTTTAAGTTTTTCATTAATATATAATCCGGTTTTATGCAAATTTAATATTTATTTCTGCTGATGACTTACCGTCAATTCCCATCCCTCTCATTACATTGTTTTTATTATTAAAAAATCTCATTATGTTTTCTACAACACTGCAGATTTTCTTAAAAATAGGATATTAGGCTGCGATGAAATGGGGAAAACAAATTCTTAATCGTTTCTTTTTCATTTCCCTTTTCGTGTCCGTTGCGCATGTATACGACCACTCTCGGTTATGTGTGTGTATGGGAATATGCTTCATAAGTTTTTTTCTTACTATATATATATAATATAGTATATGATAATCTTATTGATAATTTTATTTCAAAATTTCATTTTCGATAATACTCTATAATTTGATAATTCCTACAAATTTAATATTCATGTCTACTGATGACTTACTGTCAATTGCCATCCCTTTCATTATGTGACAGGTTATTATTTCTAACGTAATTAAAAATCTTTTCTATTTATCACTATGTTTTCTACGACAATAACACAGATATTCCTAGAAATAAAATATTAGGAAGAAGAAGATTTAATAATAAAGCCTTATTTCTATTATTGTTATCATTATCATTTTCTAATGAGGTGATAATTGACAGTAAAGCACT